ACACACCTCCATCTCACAGCATCAGTCTGGGCTTTGTCAATCCAAAACACCAAATCCAAAACATACATGTATGTATGCATGTATTTATCAGACAAGATCTTAATTGTATTCTTAAATAATTTCCAGCAGGGAAAAACATGGAACATTTGTCAGGATGAGTTTGCTTCTCTGCAGGATATGAAGCTGATTGCAAAAACATGACTGAATCTGATTCATTCCATGTCCTGTTTTATGTGTATATGAATATGGTACGAGTTCAGTGACATTAAATAATAATCACATGAAACATACAAAAGTGCACATGCATGAAATAAAAAAAACAGTAAATACAAGAAGCTGAAATTCGCTTGTAACGATTATTCTGTTTATGATCTCTGCAACTCATTGCGTCTAATGATCTCTATATGTTGTTTGCTGTATGATTTCTTTGTTTGTTGCTTTTCATTGCGTGCATGTTTTTTATGAGTTTGCTTTCCATCAGTAAACAAACAAACAAACAAACAAACAAACAAACACACACACATACATGCATACATAAATAAATAAATAAATCTCCAGATCAAGACAACGGAATTCAGGCAGTATTGCTTTCCAGCTCTAATATGCAATGTTTATATAAAAGGAAAACTAGACTGACGTTAAGATCAGCTTTAAGGATCACTAATGATTATATGATTCGTTATGACTAGAATTTTACAAACAAAACACTCTCAAAACATCAATAATGACACATGGAGACTGAAGCCTAAAGCAATAGTTCATCCAAACACTCTGTCATCATCTATTTACCCTTGTTTCAAACACATACAACTTTCTTTCCTGTGAAGCCCACAAGCAGATGTTTAGGAGAATGTTCACGCTTATGGCAGGCCAATTTGGCTTAAAATGGTCCCAGCTCTACTTGCTATAATTACATTGTTACTAGTAAGAATGTAATTTTAGAGCATTTCCATTAATTTGAGAGAATTAGAGATTTTAATTCAACTCTTACTAGTAACAATTCCAATTAAGAACTGAATTATAAAGCGCTCTAATTGTAATTACAAGTAAGAATTGGAATAGAAAGCTCTGAAATTGTATTTTTTTTACAAGTAAGGATTGAATAAGAAACTCTCTAATTGTAATTATTACAAGTACAATTTGAATATAAAATCTCACCTATTGTAATTATTACAAGTAAGAATTGAATTAAAAAGCTCACTTATTGTAATTATTACCAGTAAGAATTGTACACTGTAAAAAATGATTGTGAATTTAACGGTAAAATACTGTAAAAATGCTACTGTAAAAACCTGTTAAATGGTTAATGGTAAATTCCCCTACTATATACGGTGAAAAACTGTATTGGGCATTCATTTTACGGTAGTATACCGTTTTGGAAGTGAAAAAGACTATAATTTACAGTGAATAACTGTAAATTGACATTCCCAGAATTCCCTGCGTTACATTTCAAATTTAATGTTTTTTTTTGTTGAAATAACTGTTTCTTCTTAGTTCTTTTTCTTATCAGTTTTGTATATTAGGGTTGTGTGTTACACCTAATGTTGTTAAATTAATGTTTATTGCATTATTTCAGTTTCATGTGAGTTGCCATGATGGTGTTTGGTGTTTGTGTGAACGTCACTGTGCACCTTCTATATATGTTAATATTTAAAAGCTGCTTGTGATGGGCTTTGGTTCATCATGTGACTTTCTCATCACCACCTGCATTTGGTGGTTATCAGTGTATTACAAAGGTACAAAACTGATTTCAGTTCTTCAATAGGTTGGTATATTAACATTATATCAGTTAATGAAATTAGGGTATTTAACTGTAAATTTAAATTAAAACCGTAAAACCGAAAACGTTGCTACCGTGTTTTTTGCAGTAAAATTCTGGCAACCACAGCTGTAAATTTTACATATTTTTTATGGATTATTTTTTTTACAGTGTATTAGAAAGCTTTCTAAATGTAATTACTACAATACTTTAATTAGAGATATCTATTTGTGCAATTATTACAAGTAAGAATTGAATCAGTAAGCTCTCCAATTACAATATTACAACAATAATTGTATTAGAAAGCTCTCTGAATGTAATTACAAGTATTATTGCTTTCAAAGAAGATTCATCCACTGAGGTGATTTGACTTCACAGAGAGAGTTACAATATCAGGGCCATTTTAAACACACAGTAGCAGAGCATCTTCTCTGTTATTTAAGTTCTGTAGATCTCTTCAACAGTGCTCAGACTACAAGAGACACTGATAAATATAGCAGAGAGGCCATTTTCTACCCCTCTCACTGTTCATTTGTCTGCTGAAAGCCGCTAAATACATACTGAAGTGTCTAGGGCACGTCCCCTCCCGGCAGGACGGGGTAAGAGAGAGGCTAGCTGACAGACGCCATGCATTTCATGCCTCCAGAGAGTGAAGCCTGACGCCATGCTGTCATAATGCTTGTGTCTGAAAAGCCAGAGAGAGCTCAAGTTTATTTAGCAAGTATTTTGGGCACAAAGTGTCCTCAGAAGTGAACGAAACCTGCCTTTGAGGATGTCTTCAAAGATTAAAATGATTACTAAAGTAATCATGTTTTTAGATTATTTGTTTTTTCTACTTAGGTATGTTATGTCATTGTCATAACAATCAATCAATCAATCAATCTTCTCATTACTGTAATGTGAAAATATAGTGCGTAATATATGGTATTTTTAATGTAATTTTTAAAATGCAAAATACAATTTTAAGTATATAAGTTCAACAAATATAATGTAGATTTTTAGGATGAGATATGTTTGTTAAAGGACATCTTAATTACATCTTTATAACTGTTATTTTAGTATCATTGACAAACTATTATAGTTTTTTTTTATAATGTAAATCAGTTTTTATTTTTACATTTTACATTTAATTTAAATTTAAAGTTTTAATAATTGATTTTCTTTATTTGTCCATAGTTGTTTTTTTTTCATTCATTTTCATTGCAATTTTAGTTTTAATTATTTAGAACATAGAGTCGAAATAAACAAAATCTGTAGATTTTATTTCAATTAAAGTTTATTTAATTTCAAGTAATATTATTTATGTAAATATTATTTAAGTATTTTATTTATTTAAAATACTGCTGAATTTACTGACAAACATATATGGTAAATTCAATCTTATCTTTAAAGAGGCAATGCATGTGTTTGTTGCCTGCACTAATTAGCATGTAGTGTAGTACAGACACTCAGTTTCACACACTTACACATACTGTGTGCCAGGAACGCACTGAGCGTCAGTCTGCAGGATTCACAGGGAAGGCGTGCTGTCATATCAACACTTTCATTCTGTCTGTATGTGCGTGAGCTTCCAGAGCTGCACTGCCATCCAAACTCAAACAATATTGTTAGCACAAGTCTGTGTGTGTGTGTGTGTGTGTGTGTGTGTGTGCGTCAGTCTCTGCCTCTTCCTGAATGCAGGAATCGTTTCCTGACTGCAACGTGACTCGTAAAAACACACACAGACACAGATACACGTTTATCTAAATGCGGACATATCATAGACTTCTATTGTTTTATATACAGCTACATATATATATATATATATATATATATATATATATATATATATATACACATTCATAATAATAAAAAAAACAACATGTATAGATCTGTTTTCTATAAATAGATGCATTGTTCTTTGTGTTGTCCCTTGATTTCTCATTATGTACATTCTTTTTTTTTTAAACTACACATAATTTCCCTTCAGCATCCCTTGTGAAAAAGCAGCATATTTTTTTATATATATATACATATATATATATATATATATATATATATATATATATATATATATACACATTCATAATAATAAAAAAAACAACATGTATAGATCTGTTTTCTATAAATAGATGCATTGTTCTTTGTGTTGTCCCTTGATTTCTCATTATGTACATTCTTTTTTTTTTAAACTACACATAATTTCCCTTCAGCATCCCTTGTGAAAAAGCAGCACACTTTAGCATTTTTTTAAAAAGCAGAATTATTTTTTTTGGGGGGGGGGATAATACACTTAAAATAATATACTTAAGTGCAAACTGAATGTAATGTCTTTGAACTCTTGATTGCATGTTAACTGCAATTAAATGAAAATGTACTATAGCTTTACATTTATATTGAATGCAATTATCTGAACTTCAGAGTGTTTTGAGCCACTTAAACACATCCCTATATGTAATTCCATAATTATATTATATTTGAAATATGATTATAATGTACTTATTGTATTATACGGTAAGCTAAAATATACTTAATCATCTATTAAAACTTGTATGTAAACATTCCTAATTACACATTTGTAATGCTGAAGTTGCAGTTTAGTGTATTTAAAATATATTAACTTTAAATGTAATAATGAATAGTGTCATTCAGTTAAAATGCTTTAAGTGCTTTTAATGTTAAAGTGCTGTTAGTCAACACATCAAAATAAGTGTACTACCTTTAAAGCATGACAAAAGATTAAAATTAAAATTGTGCATTATTCCAAAATGCACTTTTTAAAAGTATACTTCTAAAATGTAAAATAAATAAATAATTTAAAAAAACTACAAGTGCACATTCAATACAATTAAGCAAATATATTTTTCACAAGGGATACCACTTTAATACAGACACACAAATGCACACAAAGCACACTGATAAAACATCTGTGAGCATAAATGCACATGGAGATGAGCACTAGTTTGTCAGGTCAGTCGTTCTTAAGTCCGTGTCTGTATTTAAGTGCAGCCCAAGTGCTGTGTCTGCTGCTTGCTGTCGTCCTGACTCAGCAGCTATTGTCAGTTCCGTTTAATTTTGTCATGCTTGACTTCCTGCTTCCTCGAGCCCTGTCTGCCAGAAGCTCTTCAGAGGCCTGTCAACTCCAACAAAGAAAAAAAGCTCCACGGACAGATGGACGGTGGGCTGATAATGGAGGAGGAAGAGGATGTTTCTCATTCTTTCTTTCTTACTTCATTCCTCGCTGTCGTTCTTTTTTGCTTACCTTGATGGCGTTGCTGGAGATCTGGATCTCGTGGAGTTTGCGCATAGTGCCGTCGCGGTCGATGAAGTATGAGGAGGCGAGCTGGTGCAGTGCCTCGACTCCTTGGGTGGCGTTGACCATCTTCCGGTCCAGCTTGTTCTTGGCCATGTACATGGTGAGAGCTTCCTCACCTAATGGCACAGAGCAATATGGTCAGTTAATGCAAGACTTCACTTCCAGTCTTTCAGATGCCAAGAGTTAAAATATCACGCCCTCAAACGTCCATACGCTTTAAAAAGAGCGATTCCGTCATCATTTGCTCACTCTCATGACATCCTGTGACTCACTTTCTTCTCATTCAATTGGAATATGACATCAATACACATTGGTTATTGAGTGAATCGTCACTGACGGCAAACCTGACAGATTTTCTGCAAATAACAGCTTAAGGCGAGACCCTACTTTTTTCATGCACTGGTCAATTTAGAGATTTTAGGCTATTTTGTTTTTGCTTCCATAACTTGACTTCTTTCAGACTAATGGAAAGAAAACATCAAGATAATTTAAAGTGTTTATTACACTTTACCAATTTGCATATATTTAAATTATTGTACATTTCTTTAAACTGTTATATATATATATATATATATATATATATATATAGATAGAAGGATTTGTTCATATATCATTTGCCTGATTTTATACAATATTTTGTTTTCTAAAAACATGATACATTTATTTTGTTATTTTTTTTTTATTATTTTACTTTTTCTGTCTGTTGACAGCATTTTCTGATTTATGGAGTGATAGAAATCCAAAATCCCTTCTAATATGTCAACAAAATCAAAAAAATAATTTGATTCTGGCTGTATCCAATGATCAGATTTATGTTTTGAAAATGTGCGCATATTCAAACATACAATTTCAGACAAACTTGTAATACTAACACAAACCAATTGTCTTAATGTACTGATTAACTGAGGAAAGATGGTCCAATATCTAATAGTTTAAAATTTAACCCTCTTCGACTGTAGTGTCTCCCCTTAAATTTATGTCTACTCCTTGGGAAAAAAAAAAGTATTTGCATAAGTCATATTAACAATTTTCACTCAGAAACTGCTAGTAAATGTCCCTGTTTTTCTTTTGAAGTAGAAAAAACTGAAATAGTATTTTCTTGTTAAACATACTCCGACAATATTTGTTTTATTCAAATTAAATTATTTTTAATGTGTATTGTCATGATGCATTTTGGACATTCTGCAATATATTGTCCCGTCATCATTCGGGTCTGGAATGACTTGAGGATAACTAAATGATTTCCACTATTGCTTTACAGGAAAACGATACTGAGATGCCACAGCAACAGCACATTTCAAGACTTGTTGTCATGCTTTATAAAGCCGTCCCATCGAGGTTGCCAACATTCATACGGGCATCATTCTGAGTGCTGTGGTTCATGCAGCCAACATGTCATTTTATCAACATGTTTCTTCAGCGTGGACTTCCTAGTGTGTAAGAACTGCCAAACACACTGATATGATGGAGACTCAGCGTGCATCGCTGACTCACTTCACACACTGTCACAGAGAAAATTGTGCTTATAGTGTCAAACTGACATGACCCGAGTCTCTCTCTCTCTTGCTCTCTCTTTCAGTCGAACCACTCGATGGCAAGATTTCTTCTTCACTGGAGTCGAGTGGGAAAAGCAGCTATGATTGATTTTTGCAAAGCGTCACTGACCTTTTCCTAAACAACTCATTCACTGGGACACCAGAGGAATATCTGCACAGACAGTAGTCCTAAAATTCAGCCTGCAAAAACACAGGAAGCAAAAACACACACTCTCTCTCTCTCTTCCTCTCTGTGCATCAGCTCCTTCTCTCACTCTATCTTTAGAATTAAGCACTCCAAAGCTCTATGCTGTAGCTCTGCTCCAAACACTAGTGTGCACCCTTCATAGCTGCAGTGTTTCCCACACATAGACTTTACTTGGACAGGACACCCAGGTATATTTGGCTTTTATTATTTGTATCCTCTTATACTTTATTTATCCGCCCAAAATAAATGAAACCATCCACGTTCGATTAACTAGTGGTAAAATCACCCATCGCCCTACACGTTTCGTATCTGCTCGAGAACGGTTTCCTCCCGCTTGACATTCCCTCGTGCTCTACAGAGACGCCGTGGATATTTCACAGACAGAGACAGGGCTCGACTGTGTGGGCGCTTCAGATGCTACTAAAATAGATGTGTGCAAACTGTGAAATGTATTTAGGAGCACGTGTGCGAATAAAGCAAAATCCCTCCAGGTGAGTTTTCTTAAATGTCATGTCATAAAAAGTCTTCAATTCATGAAAATGTAAAACAAACATCTTAATGATCTTTATAAGAGGTCTTACATTTTGGGGATGGATAAACATAAATTGTGATACAGCCTATTGATTATTAAACTTCAAAAGGCTATGATTTCATTAAAAAACATGGTGGCACTTCAGACTGCTTCAAAGTGATTCTCAATCAATGAATAGCGCACCTTTATGCCAAGCAATTGATGAACTCGAGTTGATGAATTATGACATTGTCTAATTTATGACCTTTTTATAATATGTTTTAGACAAGGGGTGTCAAATCCAAACTCAGTAAGGGCCATGCTGAGGATTGTGAATACAATCAGGGGCTGGACATATATTTAGATGATATTTAGATTATTGATAAAATATACGTGTATTAGTAACTGTATTAAAAACTCACAATTCATTAAACCACATTTATCAAAATGACAGGGTTTTAATTTTAATTTTGAGTTGTAACACATTTGGAACACATTGCAGTCACATAATCGTTATCAAAACCAGAAAAAACAGTAATTTAAAAACAACAACTTCAATTTCAGATGATATAGTTTTATTTGGCTTATTTTGGTAGCTCTGACTTTGAAACTACATCTTTCACTTGAAAGGACACATGCACCCGGGATATGCCAAATAAGCAAAAAAAAAAAATCTCTTATCAGACACTCTGTATTAGAAACTATTTTGTCTATTCTATGTTTTGCTGTAGCTGAAGTATTTATAAAGGTAGTATATAAACAAATATGATTAAGAATAGAATGTGTTTCTTTTTTAAAAATGACTGTGTTTTAGTTATTTGACTTTTAGCAGCCGCAGTTCCATGCTTCCATAATGATAATGTGTCATTTCGAAATGCCTTCGAAGTACAGATCTGTGCCAGATGGATTTTTCAGTCCCGCACCCACCTGCTGCCACAGAAATTTACGTCATCTTGTCCCGCTCCCGCACCCACAAAAACCTGCATAAAAGTACCCTAACTAGATTTTTTTCTGTACATCCATGAAACATGAAACAGTAAGTTCAGTGTCACCAAGCCACAACGCTCACGATAAAATGTTCGTTATTAAAGTATAAACATTTACAACCACTGTTATTTTTAACAGAAATGCAAGCATAGGCTGCTGCTGTAACGTTTGGAGGCATAACAACGCAGTAGTGGATCCAAGTGCAGGCTTTTATTAGAATCATGGTCAAAACAGGCAGGGTCAAACAGTAGCAAACAGGTATAATCCAGGGTGAGAACAAAAGAGTAATTCACAAAACAGGCGAAGGTCAGGGCAGGCAGCAAACAATAAGAAATCAGGGACAAAAACAAGGCAAGGGAACAAGGAAAACACAGGAACTAGGGAACACTACAGGCTAGACAATACTGAGCCCTGAATGAATTAAAAAACAAGCTTTAAACACTTCTGATTGGCCATTGCGTTCCAGAAATCAACAGATATGTCTGTGATTGACTACATTGCTCAATGCTGCAATCACGTGTTATAAATAGAAACTCTGCCTATGCTTGCGTCTTGTTAATCGTTTTTATTTCATATTAGTTGTTCTTGTTGGTTTTGTGCAATAGTTGAATAACAATTTATTTGTTTTTAGATAATTTAGGTTTAGATATTTCTAATTTGTGGGAGTCCAGCGAATCATTTTATTCTCCCGCATCCCGCACACACATGAGTGTCAACCCGCCTGCACCCGCACACCCCCTCAAGTCTTGTCCAGTGCCGCACTCTGTTGCGTCGGGTCCCACGGGTCTCGCAATAGTCCCACGGGAGTTCAGTTTTCTACTTGAAAGATTACTCTTTAAAAACCGTGACTATTGACATAAAATTTGCGAGTTGAGTAAAGCACGACAGCACCACCTGCCTCTCAATGTTGTAATTGTCAGAGATTAATATTTAAACATGTACTGGCCACATTAAATTGATTACCTGAATTTGTTGGCTGGCCTGATTAAAAGTCGTGGCTGGCCGTGTTTGGCCCGCGGGCCTTGTAATTGGCACATGTGTTTTAGACGGTTGTAAGAATGCATATTTTAGCTCTCACCTGAAGGATCAGCCCGCAATAGTATATACATTTCAAAATAAGAGTCCCGGTGTATTTCAAGCTTGTTTAAAATTAAAAGTCACACGTTACGTTTTTTTTTTTTAACACAATAAATTGCATTTAATTTAATATCCATTTAATTCATAGGAAACTATTGTTGTTTCTGGATGGAATGTTTCCCCACAGGAAGAAAAGTCAAGTAAAATTATTTGATACATATTTAATATACATATATTTTAGTAGTATCAGTAATATTTGTGTCCCGTTCACTGAGAGAGACACTATATGACAAAGCAATGAGAACTCTACCATTTAAATGCTGTAATTTAACATCATTTACAATGCATAATGAGTATGTATTTAAATGTAATAGTAGCCTATGTAATTAAAATGAATGAAAAAATATTGTTAAAAATCACACATTATTTGTAATTTGAGTCCCACTTTATATTAAGTGGCCCTAATACCTGTGTACTTACATTGTAACTAGATGTGTACATAGCATGTAACCACAGTGTAAGTACACATTGGTACATAGTATTTAGAGCTGTGATATTTCTGTAAATACACACATGTAACAACCCTCCGAATGGTTTGTGTAAGTACAAATGTGCAACAGGACATATATAACTACATTTTGTAACAACAATATGTATAAGAGTAATTGGAACAATTTGATCCAGGGGGTGGAGATGGGTAGGTTTAGGGATATGTAAAGTGGGAGGAGTTGGATCTCAAGTTGGTGGAGTTGGTGCACCACTGTAATACCAGTGTACTTACATGGTAACTCCTCAGGA